TAATAATAATAATAATAATAATAATAATAATAATAATAATAATAATAGTAATAGTAATAACCAGTGGCGCACAGAAGTATTTTAAGAGCACATGCAACTAAAAAAAATTAACCACTCACCCACCAATTTTTTTCTTTTTTTTTAAAAAAAAAAACGTTCGTTTAAATTTTTGTGTGTAACTGTAATTAACTCTTAAAATAACTATAAATTTAAGAAATTAAGATTTATTATAATTAATTAAAATTAAGATGTCTACACCCAGTGTCGTATAGGTATAATGTTTGTGTTATAATAATGTTATTTACTTAGCATACTCCATAATGTTTGGTATTCAAGTTGTCCAATTATATACTCTGTAACCCATCCATACACCCACCCTCGACGAGAGCACATGCAATTGCACCTCTTAATAATCTGTCTGGGCGCCACTGGTAATAACATATCTAAAACACTATTATTCATTCACATTATTCATCAATTTATAAAAATCTTTTTCAAACTCATTTTTTGCCTTTTTTTCGCATTTCCGTATTTAAATTTATGTATTTGCCCAACCATAATGACTGTTTAAATTGTATAACTCTATGTACCTATAAAATAAAATATTTTATAATAAATGTATACTAAATAACATGAAATATTCACCTTTTTAATTATGAGTCCGTTAGCGATAGCTTGCTTTCGGTACCTAGTGAATAATATAATTTTTCTTTGGCTGTAGAGTTACCATTAGTTTTCATACTTTGGAACCTATAAGACTATTGTTTTTTAGTAGGATCACTATACAAATCATGTAGATGTTGTGGGTAAGATATATCAACCTCATAAATGCGGCCGATATCAGATATGTCTGTTAAATCATTAAACCCGTTGAGCGATGATTCTTCCCACGTGAAACCACCGTATGGCATATATTGTACCATAGCCATTGGCGCAACTAGGTATAAAATATTAGGGAGGGGCTGAAGCCCTACAAATAAATTTCGTTAATGTGAACCATGGGGGGCTTTGCCCCTCATACCACCCATTGCCGCAGCCACAGAACAATAATTATTAATTGAAATAAAAACAATCATAAAATATTATTACCATACTATATTATTAAAAATCATGTACCTACTTCTATGTAATATGTTTTACATAAAATATGACATAACACCAACGCAATATTCCACCGTCGTCCGTGACATTTATTAGATAACAATATTATTATTAATTATGTAGGATTGTAAGAATTACAAAATAAACTATAATAATAATATTTTATATTTATGCAATTTATTTTTGAATAATTCTTTGCGTCATATACACATATTATTTAGTATACATCCCATGCTTAAATTATCATTACATTTTCAATAATCAAAAAAATTTGGGGGTGTTATAATACATTTTGGGGGGATAGGCCCCCTAGTTGCACCAATGGCCATAGCCCATCCGTATAAGTTATTGCCATAAATTATGTGAAAAAATTATTAAAATTTTTATTTTAATTATATATTTATAATCACAGTCTTGATAAATAATCCATGAATCAGGTTTCGACGTGTCATGGTTATCCATAGTATTTTCATTATTCGTCTTTTCATATCGCATACACGCCTGTGTAAGCCCACCTCGGATACCTATTCAAATAGCATTAATTAATTATTAATTTTTAATGGATCATTTAAGGATTTAAAAAAATGTAGTTGTACCTTTTTCAATCAATAAAATCATATTGTAGTCGAAAAGTAATTTTAGTTGTACTTGTTTTTCAGTATACTTCAACATATAAACGAAACTAAATCCAGGCACCGTATAATAAAATGCTGAATCTAGATTGTATATTTTTTTGACATATAACTCTAAAGTTTTCAAAAATATCGACTAGAAGTAGTATATCAATAATAAAGATTAGATAATAGAGGTCACTATACTGACACAATGTCTCCATAAATTTTTTTGCGTGTTCATAGTTATCGTAGGGCGTATTTAGACTTACTCCCTGGGGGAGGGGCGACTCAAAGTTTTTCTTCAATTTAGGCTCAAAATTTACAAGTCAAATTTTTGGTAGTTTTTAAATCAGGTGAATCCTTGATATTTTTGTTTTTTTTTCTAATCTAATGCCGGATTCACTAAAAATTGACTTTTGTATAGTTATTTTTAACACTTGTTTGTGTTTTGAAAATTACGCTAGTGTTTTATTTGATTTTTCACTAAGTATATATCCAACAAAAATCCCAATTCACTATTCACAGACCCGCGTAATTTTATTTCGTTATAAAATGATCCACATTAAAAAAATTTGCAATGTGTATATCACAATCTCATATAATCGATTCCTTAAATACGCATTCAGGGGGGGTCGATCACTCCCTTCGCCTCCTTAAAATACGCCCTAGTCACCACTCACATGGTTTTCAGTTAATTAACTATAAAATAACTCTTTCCGCGGTAGACTTGTTTCATTTAATTTGGCCCATGTATCAGTGTACTTTTAAGGGTAAACCTCCTTACGTATTACGAGATGTAGATTTGATGTTTTAAATATTTTTCTTGTTTCATTGAAATTTGAGAAGTCGGATGTAATTATATTTGAACTAAGGGTAGCCAAACTCGAGGCCATAAATCTGTACGTGTCAATAAATCGTATTGAAAATGTGTTGGATATATACTTGGAAAAAAATATAAATTTTTCCGCACTATTTGGAATAACTGTAATTGTATTTATATCATAACCTAACTTTGCAACTATGAAATGCGCATCATAATTGCTTAAATTATGAAATAAATATGGTACGAATTTGGGGACTTGTAATTTAATATTATAATATCAAAGATGTATAGAACTCGATTTTCTAAAAATTAAAAACAAAAAATTGGTAAATATTTTGCTGTTTAAAAAAAATGTAGTATTTTATTTTTTTAAATAAACTTTGTTCAATTCAATAATATCACCTGAGTAACAACACATAGCAATTTTAAAAATAAATACATTTAAGAATAATTAAAATGAACAATGCAGTATTATTCGTACCTAAATAATATTTAAAACAACATGGACGTAAAATATTTGTACAATCTATTTGATGTACTGAAAGTGGCTGGATGTTCAATAAATGAGGATTTTGTACCAATTTTGTATAATTCATTAATTCAATTACAAAGTGAAAATCATTTTGATTCTGTGTATTTGTGGGGCCGCATTGTAACGTTGTCTAATGATTACTATGTTGCTTATGGCTATCATAAGGATCCAATTAAAAACAGGATGTTTTTTTACACGTAAGTTTAAGATACGCTATTTTTAAAATTTATGTAAACTATTAAAACTGTAGTAAGCCCGTCGAATAGCCTAACTAGATTAATTAAATAAAATAAAACAACGATGATTTTAATTACTATATAATACTTGAATAGTTTATACACGAGAAAAGTTTAGACTGCAGTTCTCCACATACGAATTACTTAAGTCTTTACAAGATGCAAGTCAGAAATGAGGCCCCGAATAACATATAGATTCCCTTTATATACTAAGGTTAATTAACAATATCAATACAACTCATATTCTTAGATTAATTACGTAGTGATTAATCTATAACAAAGTTATTATAAGTATTATACAATCTACACATAATATTTCAAATAAATACAATTTATTACGTTACATATATCACGTGATGATCACATGAAATAAATTAACGGATCGATAATTCAATGTTTTGTTTTAAAAATAAAACAGACAAAACATTTTAGAATGGGATGTAATGCCTACTGATTGGTCAACATTTAAATCAAATGTAGCATGCCAAGTAAAAACTAAATTTAATGGTAATCCAAGATTTATAGCCGAGAAATATAATTTAAAAAAAAAAGTCTTTGGTGCAATCTGCCAATTCAAGTATTATAATAAACAATGAATACGTAGAAGACGAAGAAACAAAACCATTAGAAAGTATAGTTTTCGATGATTTACTATCAATTTCTGAACCAGAAGAAATAGTAGAACAGGTTTGGTTAAATTAAAATATATCAAATTTTTTTCAGTAAATTTATTACGTAATAATATCGATTTATTTTTAATGTTTTTAAGGAGTCTGTTGCGAATACTTTTGAAGCCGAAAATACGATCAAAGAAGAAGATCGACTAGCCATAACTATAAAAATGATTGATAACGAAAGTCATATAGTTCCACGAGGATTTTATTACAAGTTACCAAATGAAAATATAGTTAAAGCACCTTACTTTAAGGGTATAAATTGTATTAAATTGAAATGTATTTTCATGAAATCATGCGCTTCTTAATTTTTATAGGTTTAGACTTCTCCGAAATTGGAAATGAACAGAATTTTTTTTCATATAAATCCAAAATATTGTACACATAACAGCGTAAAAAATAAAGTACGATCTGATTACAATGGTTCAATTGATTTTTTAGAATCGATTGTTAATGATATCCCAAAAGGTATATTATTTTAATTATTTAATTATTTTTTTTAAAAATTATTTTCATCTTTTTACAGGATGTTGGACTTCTCAAACTGTTTATAATCGATATTTAATTATGAACCATTTATTATGGCCAGGTGCTGTTTTCGTCCAAGATATGAGTACAGGAGTAAATGGGTTTTTTTACAATGGAGATGGTATAAAAAACCTAGACTTGCCATTTATGATTTAAATTTTACTATCGACATACTTATAAATAAAAAATATTAGGTACTAACATTTTAAATTTAATATAATTATGTTGTATTACTCAAATGCTCATAGTTAGAGATTTATTAAATTTTGATTTGTTATAAATTAAGTATATTTGTAAATCGATTGATTTTTACTTTGATGTTATTTTTCTCATCTAATTTTAAAAACTATTTAACTATTTATCTATGAATTTTTTTTTTTTAATGTACTGGTGAGATTATGATACCAATTATTTAAAACTGTGTACATATTTATACAAACAATGTAATTATAATGTAATACTACACAGATGTCAGAAGATGCAATTGATATACTTAAAGTAGATAATGGATGTTGTTCATATAATAACGTATACGCAGTATCTATTTATAATAAATTAGTTAATATTCTGACGAAATAATTAGCTGAAATCAATATATTACATGAGGTATTTGAAAGTAGTAATAATGTTATTTGATCAGATTAAAATAAAAGTTCTTGAGAAAAAAAAAACCATGGCAATTAGTTAAATGAAAGATTTCAGATGAAAATTTAAATTTTAAAATCTTCACAACTAATAGTTTATTACTATTTATCTAATTTAATTGTTTAATGAAACTAATAATTAATTACAAAAATATATATAGAAATATATTGAAATTAACTGTAATTATAACTCTAATTGTAATATAATTATATTATTTTAATTTTAGGTTATATTATAGTTGGTAGTTATTCGCTATCCTAATTAAAGTACAAAGTAGAAAATTAAGTTATAATAAAATTTCGTTTTATAATTAATTTTTTATAAAAAATTATAAAAATTTTAGTACATTCTAAAAGAATAAAAAAATGGATGGAAATTTTAATCAAATTTATTTATTACATTTGGTTTAAGTTAATAATGAAATAATAATTAAATAAACACTAAATAATCGTAATTTATAAAAAGGCTTTGAAAGTTGACCACGATGTAATTATGGTAATAATAATATATAAATAAATAATTTAGGTTTAATTAAGTGTTAATATATTCCCAATATGACAATATTATATATATATAATAATAAATTCAGGAGTTAATATTCCTATTATTACAGTAATTTTTAAAATTATCAACATTCACATCGCTCTGCGAATTTTTGTTTCACGTATTCAAATTAAATTTTACAGATAAATATAATACTATAAACAATAATGCAATCAATTGATTGATTTTATATAATTTTATTTTAGAAACATAATCATATTTAATTTAATCAAATATTTTATTTTTTACTCGGTATATTTAGTACAAAATGTTATTAACAATCTTTATATAAGGTCATGTACTCTTATTTTATATCTTAGTAAATAATATTCTTACTAAAAATATTTTTAAAATTTTTTAGTAATAGATCATAATATATGATTATATTCTTAATAATTTGTTTATTTTAAATAGGTGACCAGTGTTCTTGTTACATTTTGTTTAAGAAAATCAATTGTAATTAATAAACAAACTACATAAAATACGATAAATTATAAAATATATATGTAAATATACTACACTCAATTTGAGGGCGGGCCACGACTGCACACCAGAATAATTATAAAGGGGAATCACCCTATCAGCGAATCAATGTATAACGAACTATTAACTTCAAAATAATTCAAGTGAACAAAATATTATCATGTAATCAAAACAAAAAATCTTTATACTGTTACTAAATATCTTTAATAGGTACCTACTTTTTACTATCTTCATTTCTCTCATTTTACGTTCTTCTTCTTTTTAAATCAATAATAAGCATTAGAAATTTAATAAAATCGATAATTAAGTACATAATTTATAATTCATACCTCTTTCGGCATTTTTTCGTAATGAGAAAATGTTTCTTTCATTTCTTGTTCAAAAACCATCCATTCTTGAGCACGCCTTTCAGTGTTAAAATATTTATTTTTTTGACTCACTTTTTTTTTAAGTTTAGGTACAAATGGTTTACTTTTTAGTACAGTTGCTGGACGAGCTTTAAATATCTACTGAGGCTCTATACTTTTCATATTCTTAATAAAAGATAAATATTTGAAATTATAATTTAATAAAAAAAAAAAATTATAACACTATAATGTGTATTATAATATTGTAATATGCTTAAAGAACTGAGGGGAATTTCATACGAATATTTAACTGTAGTTAACAGCGTTCCCATAACTTCAGTCATATGGAAAGATAATAAATTGGTGAAACTTTTTTCATTTTATTATGGCATATTACCTGAAACGTCAATCAATCGATTTGATAAAAAATCCAAAAGAAATATGGAAGTAAAGTGCCCTTCTATAATTAATGAATACAACTATTATATGAGAGGTGTTGATCTTTTTAATTCTTTGATTGGATGTTATAAAATTAAAATACGAACAAAAAAAGTGGTGCATGAGAGTTTGTTACCACTTCATTGATATATTAATCTTTAATGCATGGTTAACTCTATAGACGAGTGGAAAATGAAAATGGTATAGTAGTACCAAAATTAAGTTAATTTGATTTTCGGACAAAAGTTGCATTTTCATTGACAATGGCTGTATCTACTCCAAAAAGAGGCAGACCATCTAATGAAGAAGAAAAACAGATAAAAAGGCCTAAACAGCATACTCATTTAATAACGCCTGAAGAAATCAGTAGGGATGGTTTATCATTGGCCAGAATATAAAAAAAACAAGGCAACGGTGAATATCAAAAATGTGGAAAACTGATGCAAGCACTTGTACTAAATGTGATATTTTTGTTGCGGTGTCAACAGAAATTGTTTTAAAGATTTTCAAACAAAATAACGAATAATTTTTTTGCTCCTAATTAGGTAAAACAAATAGTTCCTAATTATGTTTTATAACTCGAAAAGTACAATTTATTTTTAAATTGTATTAAATAATTTTTTAGTGTTTCAAAAGTAATGTTATTTTTGATTATTTGTTGTATCTTAAAAAACTTGTAATTTTTATTTATGTATAAATTTGTTTTTTAGTATAGTTTTAAATATATTCAGTTTAACATTCCTATTGTAACATAATATTTTTGAGACTTAAGAATAAATAAAGGCTCATGATTCGAACAGAAAATGTTTTATGTTTTAAGCGTGGGATGTACCATAGGTAATACATTTTTAAAAAAATCTATAAGAGTTAAAAAATATTTTTCCAATGTTCTGTAACCATAATTACAGGTGCACAAATTTTTTCGCTAAAAAAATCAGACCTTGAATTTAATTCGTACAGTGTAGAGTTAAAAATATTGATCGTTTAGATAATATAATAAATGTGAATTCAATAATGGGTTTACTTTTTACTTATTCATAATCTGTAATTGTTAATGATTATATTTAATGTGTGTAAATCTTGCCGTATACAACCAATACTTTTATCCTTCAAATCTTCCAATGAAAAACTAATTAATAGTGTAAAAATACTGAACATTTTACTCTATACATGCCTGTAGAATTGTTATTAATAAGATAAATAATTTAATTAAATCTATATCATAATCGTATACCTAATTGATAATGATACATGTTTTAATTATATTTTATTATATATGTTTGGTTTATTAAGTGATATAAGGGTGATATAATAATTAGTTATACCGGTTTTACCTAGAAAATGAAATGTGCTATTTTTCAATGTGAAATAATCAATTAAAAAATAAATATTATGAATAAATTTTAACTTTCATTTTATTTGTAAATTCAAAAGTTTTTGAATTAAAATAAAATTATTTATTATTATAAATTTTTATTATTTATTATTATTACAATTATTTTTTTTTTTTTTAATGTTAAACATTTAAGTTTTCGATCAATCTATCTGTATACATTAATACCATCATGAATTGATTTGAAATTATAAATACACATTATTGAAGACATTTTAATTTTCACTTATTTTAAGTATTATCATTTGTTGACTTTTAAATCCTCTGGGGAAAATAATATGTTTAAATGATTTTCTGATGAAAATAAAAATTGCATTAAATGCTAATTATTCATAAGTATTTACACGAATGGAATGAAGTGGCAGTAGGGATAAGTATATTAACTTGGTATAAATCAAAAATTTTTAATAAACTAATTCGATTTTTAAAATCGAACCAGAGTATCAATTGTTTTGAGAAAAAACTATAGAAAAAAATTTGTAGACAAAAATGATGAAAAGCTATACTTTCTGCAAAATATTCGTGAGCACAACATGCGATCACGAATGAAAAAAGAACTAGTTTTTTTTTCGAAAAAAAATGAATCGACCGAGAAAACGAACGAAGTAAATACTTCGGAAAAAATCACCCCACACGGCATTATGTTTCGGATGAATTTCTAAAACGCGACGTTCGCGAATCGTCCCCCTAGACCGAGGAGGACGTTAAAGTGTTTGACAACTCTCTTCCGCCGCGGAAAGCCGCGCGCCAAGACTCACCGCGACGATAATACATATAATATTTCGCTCACTCACCCGTCGCGACGTACCCTGTACCTCCCTAGGCCCACCCATGCCTCTCCGGCATCATATAACGTGTGCACGAGTCACCGCTGCCGCCACTCCGGGGTGGTTTTCGCTCGGTTGCGCGCGTTACATTCCGGGGTGGTTGTCAATGCGTCAAACTATTACGCGTTTGACTCCATTAACTCGGCATTTGCATAATAAACTCGCCGTCACCGCACCCGACACATTTACATAAACGTTTATACATATATAATAATAATGTTATTATTGTTATTATTATTATTATTATTATTATTATTATATTAGCCAAACACGTGAAATGTATAAACGCATAATAATAATTTATACGATTTTCCACATCCAAAGCGTGTACAAGTGTACGTGTGCGTGCGTATTGTTATGAATATATTATACAATATTATATCGCGTATAATAAATTGATACAGTAACGACTTTAATTGAAACTGAGTGCTCGCGAATTATGTTCGAAGACGAAGAGGAAGAATAGTTTAGAGGAACAGCGAAGGAGAATGGGGAGGAGGTGGAAGACGAAGAACTGGAAGAGTGGTAGCGGACACGACAGCCCCACCGGAGTATAATATAAAATACTTTCGACTGTTCGCCGCTTATTGTTGTCGTTATGGATATTATTATTACAATTGTGTGTGTGTGTATCGTATATACATATATATATTTAAATATATAGTGGTGTGGTGACGTGGCGCGTGGCGACGACGACGGCGGAAGACATTGAAGCGGCGTCGGAAACCGCGATCGCAGCCACCCCCTGCACCGGCACGTGAGGAGTAGACCTTTCGCGGCGGGTGGACATCGGAAACGGTTGGAAAGCGAATCACTGTCACGATCGAAATACGTTTACTAAAAACAGGGACAAAGACGTTTTATTAAATCATCGTGCAGAACAAATAATGCGCGAATTACATTCTATTAGTAATTATTACAGAGGACGAAACTCAATTTTTTAGTATTTATTCAATATTTTTAAATTGACTACATCGCGTTGGTTCTTTAAAAAGGAACGCATTGATACCAAAGTAACATATAAGCTTAATAGTCACTTAATAGGACTGGGATTTCGAAGAACAAAAGAAAAAAATATGTTTATAAAAAATTTAGGTATCTGTGAAAAGCACAATTTATGTCAGTCGAGAAAAGTATTTATGAAAAACAATTATAATTTTGAATTAGTAACTCACAATTCCTATTTAAAGCTATCTTCTTGCATATACCTTTAGATGGTCGCTCTATGATAAATTATTCACAATTTTCTTTCTAATGAATTTGTTAACTGTTGTTGCACAAGGATACTATCGCCTTCCCTTTCGTGGTTATGTGTTAAAACTTCTTCACATAAACAATCTCCATTCAATCCCACGTGAAATTTACATTTTCGTTTTGTACATAACCATCTCTATATGTAATCCTCTGCAAGGTTCTTTATGAAGTTCTCAAGAACTTAATGTACTGAAATATGCATTTATGTCCTTAAAATCCCAAAAGTATGCATTTAAAATATAAAACTATAAAACAAGCATAAATAGCAAAATAAAAATAATAATATTTGATTCAGTAAAATATAAATCCAATTTGTATCCAGGTCCGCATTAAATTAGATCAATAGGAAAAAATATGCAATTTCATACAAATCTGAGCCCTAATAATGAATGTATGATGCAGTTAGTTGGAAGTTAGAAATGTGGACGATTTGTGTAATAGAGAATGCATGGAAAAAGTTCATTTTGCTAATAAATAGGTATACTTGGTGCGATATGTTTGAAGAATTTTGCATAATTTGTATAAAAGTTTATTAAACTAATTATTTTATACTTCCACTTCATAGTAGAAACTAGATTATGATTTATCAAATATACAATATGACATTAGTTCTACTATAAAAACTAAAATATTTCAACTGTATTATAAAAATAAAGGAATTAAAGTATTAAAACAAATTGAAACAATGATAAATAAAATTACAATTATAATAATTTTATTTCTTTCAGAAAACTTTACTATTTGCTTTGTGACCAATATGAAGTAAGTATGCATCACTGACATCAGTTCATTGTTTAGTCTTTATAAATATACTTGCATATTAAGTGATAAAAATGACAACTGAACACAGGAAAAATATACTCTTGTGGTTTTTTTTTAAAAAGTGAATTTCATAAATCATATTTATTAATCAAAACGTTTTTATTAATAACTAAATTGTGTTTTTATTTTTTGAATTGTTTTATAAAATTTTAATATTTTTTATGTTTCATAAATATTTACCACAGAAATAGACAAGAATATAATACTTAATTGTATGTATTTTATTAATATTTATTAATAAATAAATGATTCTAATAATTTTTATAGTATTAAAATATGCCTAACGACTAATAACTCTAACTAATATTAATAAGTAATAGTCAAGATCAAGTCTACAGTAGGTAGTCATTAATATAAAAAAAAAAAAAAACTCAACGTACACCTGCATTAGTTGTTAATACTTATTTTTAATTTTAATTTACAACATACTTATTTTTATTTTTATAATTTATTTGCATTCCAAACATAGTACATACTTCTATTGTAAAATATTTTTACTATTTAGTATTTGTATGTTATTATTTTTTAATTATTAGTGTTATTACTTATTAATTATCCGCCGTAGGCACGTAGCTAATTACTACAATATTTTATATTATATTTAATTATTTAATTATACTTCTTTAAGTTCATATATTATATCAGCGGTGCCTTTTATCAGTGGACCCAATTTACTCACGGTGCTCTGTTGTGAACTACATTACAGGACAAAAAAAAAACTATTGATAACCAATTTTATTAATTTTATTAAAATTTAACTTAATTATAAATTAATAAATTTTTAAACTTAAAAAATAAATACATAAAAATGGTTGTTATTATGATTATAATATAAAATATTATATAAAATTAGTATAAGGTTAAAATGAGAATATCCAAATATACAATAGAAAATATTACATTATTTGTTATAAAGTTTTTACGAAAACCATAAGGAAAAACAATTTTAGACATTTTAAACTATTTGTTATGATCCGTACGTAGATCGCGGTGCTCTTAGAAAATGGTCGTGGTGCCCCTAGACGATTAAAAAAACATTTTAATATTTTAAGATTTTAAATAGCTACTAAACTGCAATTTTTATTCTCATGATAATATCAAAAGTTGACTGCATAAAATCCATAGATAATAAATCGTAAAAACGTGTGTAGTTAATTCTTAAAGGATAACAACTAAATTTCTAATTAAATTTAATGGACATTTATTGAAAATTCTGATTTCACCAAAATAAAATTTTGTAACACTTATAAAACTTTTAGCGACTTTTCAATGAAATATTTTTATTTCTAATATGAACATTTTTTGTTAAATTTTGTATTACATTTTCAAGCATTAAGTATAAAAATTAAAAGTTTTATAAATTTCAAACTACAAAAGTATAGCTAATTTTCTTGATCCTTTTATCAAAATTATAAATTAAAATGCTCATATTTTTATTTTTTTTAATGAAATTAAATTTCTATTCATGAATCAGGAGTAAATAAGCAAAAGAGATTTAGTATTACAATTCAAGACTTTTTGTCAAACCAAAATTATTTCATCGATATTTTCGAAAAAAAAAAGCTGAAAACATGACATTTTCAATTATCTATTTTTGAATAGCTTAAAATAATCTATTGAAAATTAAACCATCTTAAACAAACAGTAATATATACATTTAGTCAACAATTCTTACGATCATTTTTTGTTGAGTTACAATGATTTTTATTTGCTGTAAATGTTGCCACTCTTTATCATTTTACTTCAGTTTTTCAAGACCATTTAGAAAATTATTTGAAAATTCATAAATTGACCTGCTCAGACTACAAAATAGACAACGTCTTTTATCAAAAAGCAATCGTGATCGTAATCAATGGATCAATTTTTCTGGTCCAAATCATGTACACCAACACAAAAAAATAAAATGGTTTGTGTCAAAATAATAATCGATATGTATTTTAATCTCAATCGCGATTAAAGTTTTTTACAAATTTTTCAATATTATTCGGTGATATATTGAAAAATTGACTTCTTTTAAATACCAATTAAATTTCATTCCCTATCTTTTCATTTTTATTTGGTAATGATCATTTGTTAATTTAGTATGTTTGTATGTATGTTAAAATGTATCTCAATAATGTTTTTTTAAATGTATATCTCATTGAGGTCAAAAGTTACCTTAATTAAATAATCAAATTAAATATAAAATGCATGTAGATAAAAATATAAGACGTATTCATCTTATTTTTTTCTTTTCAACTTTGAGACCTTGAATTTTGATGACATTTTTTTACTAATTTCAGTAATAATTTTTAAATATAAGGTACAATAATTTACAATTTAAATTTTTTAAATTAGATATACACCATATGTGATAGATGTTTAGTCTAAGGATAAAAAAAAAAAAAAAATGATCTTTTACTTGATTATTTTTATTAATTTATTTATATTAATCTAAGTATGTAAGATATAATTTTTCTGGATATTTAAGTATATTGTGTGTTCTAGTATATTTATAACTAGGCATTTATAATCTAAATAAAATATACTTTATAATTGGATAAAATTGTTTAACATGTTACACACCACTAAAATGTATTTTTTTTTTTTTTTATGAAGCTTTTACAAGGCTCATTGCTATTAAAACCAATTAATTCCATACTTCTTATGTGTATGTTAGATCTAAGTTTCTGTTCAAATCAGGTTTTAACTTTTCCAGATCTTTTTTCACAACATTAAGCCTTTGTCTTGGTCGTCCCTTTGGTCTTTTCTGATCTATTTGGTATACCAAAACCATTTTTTTAAGGGAACCATCAGCTCTCCATTAATGACCAGCCCACGGAGATTTTGAACTCCTCATAAACTGCACTATTTCCTTTTTTATATACAGCTTTTTCAGTTCTTTATTTGATCTCTTTAATCATCTTTGTTCATTTTCGTTGAAAACAGGACCATATACTACTAAAATATAAAACTAAAATAAATCGTATTCATTTAACAGTTTAACACTATTAGAAAGTAAACTGTTTTTTAAACATAACATGTTAAAATTAAAAATGGATAATACAAATGTATTACTTAAATATAAAATCCATTGCCACTTATATACATTTACACCAATAATCATAAATTCATAATTTTGATGAAATACTATTATGTTAGTTACTATTAAACAAATAAAACAACTTTATTTTCATAAATTTCATAATAAATAATAATACTTGTAACATATGAATAAACAACATTAAAATACATTTCTGGTAACAGATTTCAAATCGCACATGGCTATTAATCACAAAATAATTTCAACCTAGAAATATAATATACATATTATATATATTCATATATTATCGTAAATAAATCTAGACAACACAAAACAAACAATATACATACCACACAGTACTATAAATATTGCAAATAAAGCATTTAATTAAACACAATTAATTTTATCTCTTCTAAAACGCTCAACTATTTCTCTCAAGTCTAAAGCTGCTAGAGGCAAATATTTGTGTCATGACTCAGATAACAGTCGCTGATAATGAGGCATTATTTCATGAATAGGAATATGAAGACCGAACTCTAAAGCGACTAATACTCCAAACTCAGATACCATTAAATCTTTTCTGTTCAATCTGAATACTATTTCTGTTCTCTAAAAAAAAAATGCATGATAATTTTAATACATTTTTTTATAATGATCAATTATAACAAACATAATAGCAATAATTAATAACTAATGAATACTATATACATAAACAATTTTTAAAAGTAAAAAAAAAAATACTGATTATTGTGAAATAAAAACTTTTTCTTGTAATAATAATAAATTTATATATATATTATATATATTTGAAATAAATTTTTATTTAATATTTATAAAATAAATTTACCTCGATAAGATTAGTTAAAGATTCACCCTTCATGTCATTTAATTTTGCAGACAAAATAATACATGCTCCAGCACATAATTTACGATTTTCTTTATTAATCAAACTTTTAACTAATAATCGTTCAAAAAATACATAAGCTTGAGCAATAGTTAGTATGTCTGATGGATCAGGTTTAGTAATTTTACGCATTTCTCGTTTTATACTAAAATAAAATTATAAATTATTAAAAATAATATTTACAAATTTATCATATAATGATTTTTTTCTTTTGTTGATAAAATAATATATACCTTCTTAGCTTACTTAACGTAAGATCAATATGTGGAAATTTATCATGAAATTTATCATTTAATTCTTTTTTAAGATCGTCTGGACGCACATAATCAATAATTGATGTCTGAAACAAAAAATCAATTAATTAGGTACATAAAAATTTTGTTTAATTCTATATGTTAAAATTATGAATTGTGCCATTACAAATAATTTAAATATGAAAATAAAATTATATAAAGTACCTATAGACAATCAACAATATAAAAATTCTAAAATTGTATATTTTACTTGAATCTCATTTAGAGCATTATTAGGTTTTTTTACTGTACTTTTTTTTCTTTTTTTTTTTAATTATTACCTATTACAGTCGATTTTGCTTAGTAGAGAAATCGGTTAATAAGGACAACCACTTAAAAGGGACAATCCTTCAATTATGAAAACAAATGTTTACTTGTAAGATAAACATTCAACGTTTATCTGGGCCACGAATTCGGATAATTGGGACATTTATATCGAGTATATTAATAGATCAATATTTCGATAACTGCGACCGACTTGTACTATCGAAAACGTTAAATATTACATATTTGAAACTTCAGTTGTTTTGATAGCGCGTAGTAACAATGTCTTGTGTACGTAAAAATTTATAACTAGCGCAAAAATTAGAAATTCTCGACAAGATTAAATCTCAATAGATATCAGTAAAAAATGAAACCTAGTAAACAATTCAATTTAATTAAGACATCTGGCGTGATGTATGCAGTCAGACGATAACAAATTGTTTACTCAAGTACGGTTTTTTGGAAGAAAGTCATATCATCAATCAATAATTAGAACCGAATTCCGAATAATATAATATCATAAGAGTACTGAACAATATAGAATTTTAACATCTGGATTCAAATGTGCAATGCTATGACCAAACTAAAAACGTTGGTGATGCATGCATTCAATCCATACTAGATAAACATAATCGAGGACGAAGGACCAGATCCATCAATTCGACTATGGGAAGCAAAAAAAATGTTTGGAAACATTGAGATTATTTTTCTTCAATAAGAAAATGAGGGAAGAGTAATAGTTTTATTAATATAGAGTAATTGTAATAGAAGACCCATAAGTGCTTTGGATATTTGTTCGGACTACATTCGTCAGCAATAAATAATACACGAGAAACAAAATGATATTCATAGTTTATATATATATAGATGAAATACATAATATTTACTTTATATGTATGTAATTTGTAATAGTATAAAAAAGATCAGTTTCGAGTTATTGGGATAACCGCTTTATTGAGATAAAATAACATGCAACCGATGTATCCCAATAAATCGGAATCGACTGTATTAAGAAAATTAACTATATATGCTACATACACAATAAAATAATGAGATAAAATAATTTACAAACACGTGAGTAACAGAGAAAGGAGACCATCAATGATAGAACCCTTTATGACAAAGATTATATGTTTATATACGTACACTTAGCATTTTTATTTTTTTAGAGATTTCGACACCATTTATAGTTTAGTCGACGGATAGGGTTGCTAGGAAGGTAGAATGACGGGAGATTAGAGAGTTTGAGTGGAAATGGAATTTTCTGTGAATGTTTGAATAATGTTTTTTTGCTAATTGATTTATTGTTTCTATATTGAGATCGTTATGTAGGGAATTGTTTGATACATACCATGGATCTGAGGTAATGACACTGAGTAAGATAGGTTGATATGATTGAAAAGTGCGAGTTTGAGAAGGCTTAGTACCTCCCCAAATTTGAAATCTGTAGGCCAAAATAAGTCTCAGAAGGGGTTTTTATATAATTATTTTTGTTTTAATAAACATTTTTGATTTTAAAATGGGGCGGAGCAGATGAAGACGACTATTAAGTGTTTTACACTTTGCTTTGAAGTATGGGCCCCAAGTCAGCCTTTTGTCAGGCACTATACCTAGATATTTTACTTGGTTTAACATTAAGATAGGAGAGCCTTGAAAATAAAGTGAAGGAATATATTTTTTTTGCGTAATGTAAATGGTACAGAGACCGATTTTTTTGTGTACTTTAAAAATATATTAAAAATATTGAAAATATTTAAATTTTAGATAAATAGAACCAAAAATAATATTATTATATTTTAATGAGTTTTAGTAAGTTCATTACTAAAAATACTTAACTATTAAATATAGTATATTTTTAAAATTTATTTTTAGACAATATAAAATAATATATTTCAATTTAAAAATCATTAAAAAATAATAATTAATACTATTAAAAAATATACCTTACTTCTAATTATTATTACTCATTACTTTTTTTTTTTTTAATATACTTTAATATCTACTTTAAAAATAATGTTTAAAGGTTTGTAGATAAAATGGCTTGATTACAAATGTAAATAAATATTATTAATTTATATTCATTGCTTATAAAATATACCATACCATATATGACATAAATGTAAGAAGTGTTCTGTGTTTACCAGCAAAAAATTCTGGGTCATCAAGCATGTTAGGAGAAAATAATGTGGTTCCATTTTCATCTTCATCACTCACAATGACTAAAAAAAAAAATATAGATAAAGAAAATGTAATTTATTAAAATACTTGAATATAGGTATACAATAGAAACTCGATGAACCATCCATCACTGTTGTCCGTTACCACATGAGCAATGTGACAAATAAGTATAATACGTTATTTCTTAATAAGTATCTAATATTTATTGTATTATACTTACGTTGTAAAATATATTTGTATGTATTCACAATTTTTGTTGACCATCTATTAATCTAATCATTGTAGCTCAAATTCCGATGGTAACGGTTAATCGAGTTTCTAATATACTTGGATAAATTACTGAACAACTACTGAAGGATGTGAACCATAAACTTTCTCTCTGACTATGGTCTTCATTTTAAATTATAATATTAAAGCCATGATATAATTATACATTTATTACATTATAGTAAATAATAGTTAAATTTATTATAAAACCTAAAATATAATAAAATATAATAATTTACGTACGACATTATATTTATAATTGTTAAGAACTAAAAGTATAATATATCTTCCATAGTTTCTAGTTAAATATTAGATCTAGTTATTTTATAAATGAAAATACCTTTGGTTAAATCAGTTTTTGGAGGTGATGATGCTGGCTGAACAGTGCACATCTTGTATGTACCAGAACCAATAACTAAACTATCAGGAACATCAGCTGAAATACATCTGTAACATATATACTGTAATTGGTGAGTCATATATTACATTCTGAACTAATCATTACTGGAAATGCATTTAATATTAATTAAAATGTACTTTCAAACATCATAAAATAAATTTGTAATAATTATTTAGTTAAGAATAAAAGGCTCAAATTATAATATCTATATCAATGGCTATTTAATAAATGCCATTTATTTAATGCTCTATTAGTAATTTAAGATGTTAATATAATCGCCCTATAGAATTATGTGCCATATCACTCTACATATATATACATATAATAATACAATTATTTTATTTTTAGATTAAATATACAATTCTTTGATACTTAACAAATTATTTACCGGCTCAAAGTATGTGGTTTTGGTTGCGCTGTATCTAACATCATATCTTCAATTGGCCCCTTAGGTTCAGCGATTCTCGAAGGAACCAATAAATGATTATAAGATATTTCCTGAAAATTATTAATAAAATCATAATAATTTAAAGAGATACTAATAAAATAAAAATACAAATAATACAATACAATAAAGATTGAATATAATTTCATCATCAAAATTAATATAAGGATATAATATTGAATGTATAAAAAAAATAACAATAAATTCAGCTATAATGGAAAATGGAATTGCTAGTATAATATTATGGTATATATATGATTGGTATAATATATAAATAAGTGCTTTATTATAACTAATATAAACTACATTACAGATAACAGAGTAAATAAATAATAATTATGAATGATTAGTAAATTAATTTAATTAAATAAAACTGTACCAAACAAGAAAGAATAATCATAAACATAATAATAATAATAATAATAATAAAATAATAATAATAATAACAAAAACTATAATAGTATTATACAATACTATTAATATCTTAGACAAATAGTATTTGTACTTTACCTGCCCATCTTTGCCTTTTTCTAATCCAAATAGATCAAATGCATCAATTATATCATTAACAGCAGATAAAGGTCGAGTTCCAGAAGTTTGTCTTCTACGATTTGGTTCTTTCTTTTGTTCACATTTTACTCTATAATAATATCAATTAACAAGAATATTCAATAATTTTAAATTATCAATTTAAAATATGGTACAAACATTATTGATCTGTTAGATCTTTTGAATGGTATTAATGAATAAACAAGAAATGGAGTTTTCTGAGGAGTCACTAATACTAAACGTTCATTTTTGAATCGATGCTGTATCGTTGGACGTACAACTCTAATATCCATAGACTGATTTGATGAGCTATTTTCTTGAAGCAGTGAGCTATTTTTATACAGAGCTGCAACTTTTCATACATACTAATTACTTATTAGTGAAATTTATATTAAATTAATATAAATTTATCTGATTCCTAACATTTTTAGTTGAGATTTACACACATATTATCATATTATTAATCAAATGTTGATTATATTTAAGAATTATGTCAACTGCTCATTTAATGCAGAATAATATTTTATGAAATAACACTTTTATAAAAATCAAAAACATAATTGTTAAATTCAAAATACTGCAGATATTAAAACACAACTATACACAGCTTATATATTTTATGTATTAATTATGATTTATAGTACACGAAAATGAATAAATAATAAATTAGATATTAAATTTTAATTTTAGATATTTCAATCTTAAAATATACATATTTATATTAACACTTAATAAGCAATAATATTATCTAGTAAATTGATTCTAGTTGTTAAATTTAATTTATGGGTTGATAATTATTTTAAACAACACACAACATATAATAATTTATTGCTTTTACTGCTAAAGCTGTATTCATGAAAATGAAAAATAAATAAACATAAAAGTTATATTAAAATAATTAACATTTAATTTCAAAAATAGTTTTTATTTTTTACAATTATTATGTATCAACATTTTAATTTTATTGGGTATAAAATAGTTAAGCTCTTTAATGTACAAAGTAATAATATTATTATTTTAAATAATAAATCTCTATTGAGTATTTGCTTTGAGTGTTAAATAGTAAGAAAATTTCACATTAAAATTATTTATACATATAAAATATTAATAGTAAAAAAATAAATAAAAACAGGAGTATTTAAAGATAGGTAAAATAATTTGTTTAAAATCAATATAAAACGCTCAAACCAATCGTAATTATAATTTTCTTAATCATCTTAGAATTAAAATATGTTTAGCATAGGTATATATTTGTACTGTTATTATAAATTAATAATCCAAGAAGTTAGTTACCACTAGGGCCCTGATTCCAATACAAAATGCATCTTTTTTGGATGACCTTAGACAATGTTTTTTATGTATAAAATTTGTTATATGTAATAGACACTTAAAAATTGAAACTTTTACTTTACATGTTTTTAGGTTTTATTTGCATCTTTCAATGTTTTCTCATTTTAAACATTATTTTAGTATTTTTTTGGTAATTTTATGTGTTTAAATGTATATTTGTACAGTATACATATTACAAATTTCATTCAAGAATATTTTTTTAAAAGCACCTTCTAAAATTTTGAAGTTTAAATTTATGGGCCCAACTACTTCTTAACCAACTCAACCAGTACTGACACGCTGAAAACTTGGATAGAAGCTGCAGTATACTGCTGTGAATATTTTCAATTTATTAAAATATTAATCAATGTTTTTGAAGAAAAAAATGCCATAGCTATCAAAAAGCAAAACATTTAATGACAGCCAAAAAAATGTAATCAAATTTAATATTTATAAAAACCAACCATGAAAATATACCAAGCTGTATAACTTCTAAAGTTATTTCTTTAACTAAGATAATTGGTGTCATAAATTAAGTCAAAACTTGTATTTCAAATAATACAAATAATTATAAAAAAAACAATAAAGAAAAAATTGGAAAATATCTTAGAAAACAATTGTGGTTATACAAAAATGGAAACATTTTAGAAAGCAAATAAACCTCTCCAACAAACATATCAGGGGAATGAACACCAGATCATATTTACTACTTCAAATATGCTCCTCAGTCTTTACCAGTCACAAGTCAATATTTTCAATTTTTTTTTAATAAAATTATAAATTATCTAATAATTTATTAGTATTTATTAGTTTAATATAAAAATGAATTTTAAAAAAATTGTATATGCCATTTTTTTAAGGACATTTTCATAATAAAATTTAGTACTATTTTTTTGTATGATTTTTAATGCATTTAAATCGTAACCCTAGTTATCACTAATCAGTAAAATACTTTTTTAAGGAATACATTTAATTAGTCTTGGAATTTATAAAACAAAAAGTAATTAATAAATAATAATTAATACACAACAGCATATAATAAAATTAATAAATAATTTTTATTAATATATTAGGTTTGTATTTTTATTATCTTAAGTACATTATCATTATTACCTAAACCAAGACTTTCAGAGCTGCTGAGATTCGTGTTACTTTCAGATAATAATGGAGGAATCATCCGTTTACGATAGTAGGCTGCTAATTTTTTTGTTTCCATTGTCACATCACTGCCAGTTGTATTAAGTCTAGAAAAAAATAATTTATATTTATAAAATAAAACCTATTTTGTTTCATAATAATTATTCATAAGAAATAATTAAAACACCTTTCACGAAATGGTATGCCTTCAGAATTCTTATCAGAATCCAAATCAAAAAATTTATCAACACAATGTTTATCACTCATATTTGCTTTAATTGGTGTGGATGTTAAAGACTGTGTTTTTATCAACCTGACAGTACCATGAAATTCAGTATTCATATGGTCTAGGATAATATCACTTTCACTGAATGTATTTTCATCATTTGTTGTACCTATGTCAGGCAGTGATGGAAACTCAACTTGAGATTTTTGATGTTGATACATATTATTGATGAAAAGTAATTTGTTAGTGTCTTTGTGAGTACCATCCAATGATATATTAGTTAAAAATGACAATGCTGCAATTCGTCGACGTGAATTATCTCCAGTTAACGTATTCATTATGATTGAAGAAATTCAAAAATTCCTGTTAACATGGAAATAAATAATAATATATTAATAAATAATAATAAATAAATCATAATTTATAAAATTATTTTTTGTAAATAGATGAATTAGTTTGGCATTTCATATAATTTTTTTTTTATTCATTAGAAATTAAAACAAATAAGTATTAATACATAAATAAACAGACTATTCCCAGTTACCCTTAGATATTAAGAAAATATAAATTTAATTTGGTTTCATTGTGTCTTTAAAAACCTGTCACTTATAATTTGGTTCAAACTGTAAACTTTTTTAAATTATAAACAAATCAACAAAGATTGAATTATCAATATAACTTTTAACTAACTTCAACCGATTATTAATATTTTTAATTGTTTTTATAAAAATTTTAATGGTAAAACTATTCAGTAGATTAAAGTATTAGATCATGTAAAAATGTAATAAAGGTGATTAATTAAATTTTTAAATTACATATATTATGTAACTATAAAAATAAAATGACCAATAATACAACTCATATAGATAATCTTTATTATACAATAATTAAAATGTTGTGAAGCAGTTAATCAAAAGGGGGAGTACTCATAAATAATATAAATTAATACCATGATGTACATTGGTGTTTTAAAAATATTCTAAATATTTATTTATTATTTTATTTAAACTTATATATCTATACAATAATTAATAAATGAGATATTTAAGTAATTTTCATATATATATATTTATAATAATGGTATCTATATTAGTATATACATTAAATAGGTGATTTCATAGTATACTTAATAGAAAAGAAACTATAATTTAAAATATTTTTTCTTTTATCTTAAATAGGATTATATACAAATATAAAGTATTAGGTATAAGAAAATTGTGTATGAATATATTCTAAAAAACATAAATTGTTATAGCTTTTTATCTATTTCAAACAGCTTCATTTTATCAATTAAGAAGAAAATGTGTAGTTAAAAATAAAATCCTTAAACACAATCAATTAAAATTCTCTAATATAATTAGTATTATCTAATTAAATATTGAATGCTACACAAAATATATAGTGTGTTTATATAATAATAAAATGAAAAAAAAGAACTTAGTGTACATTGTACTGACAAAAGAAGCTTTCAAAACATACAACCCTATAAAATCATAATTCCAGCACTTAATTAAATTTCTCCATAGATCTCTTATTTTATAAATATTCAAATTAAGTAGTTAAAAGATAACAATATCAATAAATGTAATTTAAATAGTCTAGTTTAAAGCAAATTCCTGTTATTTTTTACAGTATAAACAAATTTAATGATGACAGTACAGTATTTAATTGTTATTAGGCAGTAAAACACAACTGATAGGCTTAGATAAATTGCTGTTTTGTAAAAAATTATTTTAAATGCAAAATCGGAAACATTCGAGCGGGTTTGTCGGAGTGATAATAACTAATGAGTGTAACAATGTGAATAAACAAACACGGGAATACTCACTGATGGCCGTGAAAAGTGTTAGGTCTTAACTGAAATTCGGAATGTTCGGCGACACATTCTGTTGTAGAACCACAAATGTAATTAGACGGTGGATTAAATTCATGATGAATATTCAACGGCTGCGAAGCAAACAGAAAACAGTTACTAAAGTATTTGACGATCGATTATACCTAGGGAAACGCAATCAAATCGTAATGTTTTCGCCCCATTGTAATCAAACGTTCGCTATCTCATCTAATCATAACAATGATAACAGTAAATCGGATGACAACAATGAGGACATTTTGACATTCACATGATATATCACGAATATTTCAATACATTCCGTGGGCATAGAACAGTATCCGTTCAATACCTATCGGACCATTAATTCACATAATATCGCTTCGGACAACTTGCGAAAGCAACGCGAACACATTTTGTTTCTCCGAACATAAAACGGTAACGGGTTAATGATTATTTTATTTTGATTGCTTTCGATGCGATTGGTCCCACAACAATGCTAACCGTCGATTCGTCTTATGGACACCCTGACATTTTCCCGCGTAATTGCTATGACCATTTACCTCCAAAAATGAAATACTGTTTTCTTCCACTGTTCATTTTCTTAGGTACAACAAAGTAATAATAATAATAATTCTAGGAATGTTCCACCATTCAGTGGCGCACAGAAGATTTTTGACAAGGGTGTCGAAAATATATATTTCGAGGTACCCACCCATCCCCACCAGTAAGATCTGAGTTTAGGCATAGTAGAACTCTTATTTTTAAGTGTTTTTGGTTTTTTTTTTTTACTAACACAGATCCTAAAAAAAAAAATTTTTTTTAAATAAACCTAATATTAATTATTTTTCAATTTTCTGGGTATTAATTTATAAGTTTGTATAGCCTAATTTTTGGGATTGAGCCCTACTACTTATTCTCATGTGACGCTTTAGTTCTAGGGTAAACATAATTAGTATGTTGATTTGTATATGTAAAAATTGGTTAGTATTAGATTAAACAAATATTCATACAAGTCCATACAGAGCTAGCCATTCACCAATTCTCTGAGGGATGTCAGTCGACTGTGTGCGCCACTGTCACCATTGTAAGCAATCATTTAGCTCTTTAAAAAAATAAATAAATAAATTGACACAATTCAATACTATGAATACCTATATATGTATGAGACATTAGTGAACATTTTAAATTAAATTTTGTCGGTGCCGGTGATTAAGTTATGAACACGTTTATGTTCAAATTGTATGAAAAAATTAACGCATTTATTTGGCTGTTACTTTAAATTTTTTTATTTTATATTTATGAATTAACGACCTTTATTCTGTGTATATAGGACTTTTACAAAATGTAAGGTATATTTTACTTCATGTTTAAAACATATACTTAAACATGTTATAATAAATATTTATTATTTATATACCTAGGTATATATATTAGAGTTCGCAAAAGATAGAGATTGACGACAGCATGTTTACTTAGAGGTAGGTGTGGTCTTGAATGGCAGGAACCAAGGAAGAAGAAGGTATGTATATTTTTAAAATTATAAATAAATATGAACGTTCCAAAAATCGTTAAAATTCATTAATAATAAAAATGTCGTTCATTGTCTATTTGAAATAGTGATGTTCGTAAGTCGATCACAAAATATGAAAATGAACACTGGGGATTTCTATACAAGCAGTGCTGAAACTACAAAATAGGAGGCCCGTGTGTGGTAATTATATTAGACCCCTTCCTAGGATTTATTTTTGTTGTACATCTTATTTATAAGTATCAATTTTTTTAGGTTTTAAAACACGTTTAACATCAGTTAGTGTAATGATTTATGTTATATATCAAATTAAATACCTACAACTGTTTTAGGTATATTATACTTCACTATATATTTATGTAGTAAATTTATTTAAGTAGTTTAGGTATGTTCTATGCTAAGGGCGTATTTGAGTTGAGGCCATAGGGGGAGGGGGGAAACTAATTTTTCTTCATTAAAAATTTAAAAATAATTTATAGTTCATTACAGGGGCGTACCCAAAGAAGGGTTTTCGTGTCCGGATCTCCCATTGAAATTTCTACATACTCGATAGTTTAATAGTGTATTTTAATTTCCCATTATCTTCAATATACAAAGTTTATAGATTATATAATATAGTTACCTATAAAGTATAAACCATGTTTAATTTATACTGTTTTTTTTTTTAATATTATTTATTATTGTTAATTAAATAATGTATTTTTTTTATAACATTTTACTACCAAATAAAAATTTATTTAAAATTATAGAACCTACCAACCTATTATAGTAAACCTTTGTGTAGAATATATGTGATGTTATTAATATAGTTATTAACAGTAATTTATTGATATTGAATTAAAATATAATTATAATTAGAGAACAGATAAAATAAAAATGTTGGATCCCCCCCCTCTAAAAAAAATTCTCTTATACACCCCTGGTTTATTACCTATAACTCATGTTCCTGTTGATAAATTCGAATGAATAAATAAAAATACAAGTACCAAATGAAAATAAATGTTTATTTAATAAACATATTAAAAACATACTGCATATAAAATAAGTGTTAATAATATTAACACAAATAATTATATTAAAATTGTATCTTCAGTTTGAATCCTGTATAAAAAGAAACAATAAATAATCATAGTAGTAATAGTACCTATTAATTATTTTTCAAAAACTTTAAAAAACAATTAAGATAGGTAACTTAATTTAACAAATATCTGAGTAGAAAACATAAGGTTGGTAAGTAGTCAAATAACAAATTCCAAATTTCCATTTTTTCATTTTGGCAAATTTGTTGATTGTTTCATCGATGGATACAATAATATTTGTGTGCACATGCAGCAAAGCCAAACCTGTTAGTCTATGCTAGCCCATTCTTGATCTTAACCATGTTTTCAATTTACAAAAATATATTTTTGGCCAATATTTGCAAGTTGAAGAACATGCATAGGCGTGTCTGAAAATTTCGTGCAGGTATTGTCAATAACATTTTTCATTAGGAAAATTGAAATTTTCATTCAGGACACAAAGACAAAGAGTGACTTATACACAATACACTACCTTGAGAACGTACGTAGTAATTGTAGCTACTACAGTAACCATAGCTAGTAAATAATATATTCACTCTCTTCAAAAATAAAAGGTATATAACATAAAATATAACTAGAACTACACGCATACTTACAGTTATGGATATTAGATAATAAATATTATTGGTTAGTTTTTGTCACAAACATATTATACATAAATTATATTTTATGTGAAAATATTTATTATTTAGTTCAGTTTTATTTAATCATTCTTATTACTTTTTAGTAATTATTTTTAATGATTTAAGCATAAATTTAAAACGGAACTGGATTTTGCAGGTCTGGCCATAGCCGTAAACATGTCTATGAGAATATGGAAACAAATTTTGTCAGTTGTTATGATTATTATTTGGGTTAGGGGCTTCTAGCTTTATAAAATACACAATTATGCATGCATTTGTGTACAAAAAAAATCACTAAATACCATCTATGCACAACAAAAAGTACCAGATATTATGTTATAAAAAAAAAAAAAATAGGCGAATAAAATTATTGAGGACTTATACAGCTCTAAAATACAAAAATATACAATATGTATAAATGAACCAAAAAATGACTAAATAGTAAATATGTGGTAAAAAAGTGTTACTTTAAATTACTTTATATTATCTGATAAATACCTCAGTTATGGTTGTAAAAATGTCTATAACTGTAGCAATATCTGTGGAAGATAATACCACTATTCGTTCTACAACCAAAAATGTTATGATATATAAAGATAAACAAAAATTGATACCCCTGATCAAATTCATATATTATTGAATTTATTATCATATTATAATGATAGACTAATAATTTAGGTTAGGACTCGTTTGCGTACTTATTAATATATTTATTAAATTTATGACAACTCGTTTGCGCACAAAATTGTGAACAATGGAAACCTGCTTATAGGTACTGTTTTGGTTGTACAGGTGTCTTAAAGTATAACGATTATTTTCAATCATAGTTTCCCATCAGTTGTCATCTATCTGTAATAGGGATCTTATAATCGCGACTTCTATGCTCACCAATTAAATAAGTCGTGTGGGATAAGCTTTAATCTTTATTGCTTTATTTCTAATCTAACACTATTTTTGTTAAATGTTTCTGATAAGTTTTATAAGTTATAACGAATCTGTTGTAAATTTTTGTTTAGTCTCGGATTTCGGCGAAATAACGATGGACGCTATTTGTTTAACACGGAGAGTAAAACGTTGTATAGTGTTGAATAATTTTAAATTTCGAGAATATAGGAAATTAAAAAATGGAAATTTCAATTTTCGGTGTACTAATAAACTTTGTAATGCTAGTGTAATTGTAAGCAATAACAGTGGCCAAATTGTTGACTAATCTAAAAATTCAGAGCATAACCATGAGATATATTCAGATCAAATTATATCTAGAGAAATTGTAAGGAGCTCATTGAAAAAAAAGGCAGAAAATGATCTACATTCATCCAATCAAATTAATACGCCAAGAGTTAAAAAATAGTAACGTTGCTGAGAAAATGGAATATGGTGATTTGAAGCTGATAGTCTTTCAATATACGATGTACGAAAAAAACATTTTCCCACACTACTATCAAACTGACGATGACGAGTCTTTAAAGCAACTTTTAGAAATGAAACAGACGTTGTTGTATAAAGGTAATCAATTTTGTTTTTCGAGCGATGATAATTCTGTTATTTTATTTACTTGTAAAAATAACTTGGAAGTGCTTTCTAATAATGAACACGTGTTTAGTTGATGGAACTTTTACGTATGCGCCAAAACATTTTATGCAATTGTATACAATTCATGCTTATACAAGTTATTATTATTTATCAGTAGTATACTGTTTTTAAAAAATAAACATTAGGAAAAAACTTAAGTGTAAAAATATTTCAAGCAGATTTTTAAAAAGCTGCACACAATGCTGTTCTTCGGAGTTTTCCGCAGTGTAAAATAGTTTGCTGTAAATTCCATTAAGGACAAAGTTGGTTCAGGCGTTTGCAGAAAAATAAAAGTTTATTTAAAGAATACTCAAATGATTCTGAAGTAGGAAGGTGGCTTAAATATTTTTTCGTTTTACCATATTTAGACCCCAATGACATTTCGGACGCATTTACTGAAATAATTTCAATAGCTCCATATAACATAAGTATGGATTTTCCAGACTATATATTAAAAAATTATATTGGTATTGATTTTGATTTTGAGCCAGAATTAGTGAACCTAATGAACCAGACAATAGCCCAAGAACAACGAATGGAGCTGAAAACTTTCATATGCACTTCAATAGTCAATTTTATACCCCCCATCCTCATATTCACAAAATCATTCAAATACTTATAGAAATTCAAGTCGATACTAATTTAAAAATTAATTCACTAAAAAAAATTAAAGAAAATACCCGTAGAAAAGAAATATTAAAAAAAAAAAAATTATATGAAAAAATATACTCTGATTAAAAATCTAAAAAAGTTGACATTTTAACATATTTAATGCAAACGCGTACCGATATATAATCAGTATGTACTCAAAATTATTTTAAGGACTTAATTGTAAACAAATTATTGTAATTGTAAATAAAATTATTTTTAATTGTACAAATTATAAATAACGGTGGTTTGCTAAAGAATGCTAAATTTAATAACTCGAACAACATTTTTAAACCCGCAAGTATATAAAAACCACAATATGATTATAGACAGAAAGTCCTAAGCCTTATAAAGGGTGAAGGAAAATGTTGTAGAGTATAATAATGAAAAAAATTGTTAGTCCACAGCCCGGCTTATAACCAATTCGAAAATTTGGAGGTAGGTACACAGGTTTTATACACCCTATACGTGGATAAATTTCTTTGAAAAAAGGTTTCTATTGTTCACAAATTGTGCGGAAAGGAGTTGTTAGAAAGGTAAATTTGCGCAAACGAGTTGTAGCCAGTGATTTATATTCATAATTATTAATACATTACATTTTTTAAATAAATCAATGTATTATATTAAAAAAAATACGAGCCATGGGAGGTATGCCCCCTTCACCCCTCCCCACCCATTAAATACGCCCTTGTTGTATGCCTACTCAAATACTCGATGGACTCATTGTTAAATAAATATTATATTACTCTAAAATATTGTAACATCCTTATCTGAATTTTAAAAAAAGTTTCTTTTTGTTATAAAATTATAATATAACATTATTAAATAATTGTGTGTTTGGTAAAATTTAGATTATTTTAGGCTGGGACTAGAGGGTTCCTAATGTATGTAAGACTTGGGGCCCATGTGCGTGGCACACTCGGCACACCCGGTTTTTGTGGCACTGCATACAGCCAATTATCAGTTAATATTTTTAGTATAGTGAATCACAGATAAATTTAATGTATTTGCTAGATTAATATGAAGTCCATTAGTATGTTCAAAACTCGTTGATTAAATTATTATTTGTAGGAAAATAGTCACATGATTTTAGCGTGTAAATGAAAATGTAGAGTACCTAATTGTTTTTTTTTTCTTTTAAATTATAAATAATAACATAAAACTTGAAAATAAAGCAATCCTATCGCACTCTAAATAGGAATCTAAACATTTTATGTATGTATATTTATATGAAATGCTAATAAAAAAATATTGGTC